CCCCCTTGTACAAGAAAGAACTAACAGTCTGCAGAACAAACAACATCCAGCACAGCAGTGGTTAATTCATCTGTAGGTTATAGGAGGGGGCAGCGTGGCCTGATTATGTCCAGTACTGAAAGGGTTAATCCAGAAACCTTTCATACAAGAAGGAATTCGAGAATCTAGAGAACAAAAAAGCATCCAGCACATCAGGGGTTAAACCAGAAGCCATCTACAGCCTGCATCTAAAATCAGATACACGTTATCAGAGAAATATGAACAGAATCCAGCAAGCAGGGGTTAACTTGTCCAGGTCATTAGAGGGAGCAAAGTGCTCTGATTAATTATATCCAGCAATGCAAGAGTTAACCTATCGTTCCTACAGGAAGGGTTAGTCAGAGAGCAAATCGCATCCTCCACATCAGGGGTTAAATTATGTACAGGTTGTAGTGTGTTGCCTGTGCTGGACCAAAAAGTTGTGGCACTGTAAAGGCAGAGCCAACGGGACATATCATCCAGCAAAGCAGGGGTTAATCCTGACAGACCAGAAAACGATGCAGCACTATAAGGCAGAGCTGGGTACCCTGCATAATACAGACCATCCAGCATGACAGGGGTTAATTCCACTGCAGGTTGTAGTGCGCTGCCTGCCTGTCCTGGTTCAGCACAGCAGGGGTTAATTCCGCTGCAGGTTACAGTGTGATGTCTGCCTGCCCTGGTTCAGCACAGCAAGGGTTAATTCCACTGCCGTTTACAGTGTGCTGCCTGCCTATCCTGGTTCAGCACAGCAGGGGTTAATTCCTCTGCACGCTACAGTGTGCTGCCTGCCTGTCCTGGTTCAGCACAGCAGGGGTTAATTCCGCTGCACGCTACAGTGTGCTGCCTGCCTGTCCTGGTTCAGCAGGGGTTAATTCTGCTGCAGGTTACAGTGTGCTGCCTGCCTGTCCTGGTTCAGCACAGCAGGGGTTAATTCCGCTGCACGCTACAGTGTGCTGCCTGCCTGTCCTGGTTCAGCAGGGGTTAATTCTGCTGCAGGTTACAGTGTGCTGCCTGCCTGTCCTGGTTCAGCACAGCAGGGGTTAATTCTGCTGCAGGTTACAGGGTCCTGTCTGCCTGTCCTGGTTCAGCACAGCAGGGGTTAATTCTGCTGCAGGTTACGGTGTCCTGCCTGCCTGTCCTGGTTCAGCACAGCAGGGGTTAATTCTGCCATGCAGAGATAACACTCTCTGTAACGTCTGGCCTGTGCAGAAGTGAGATACGCGGTGCCGAGTTCAAGAGAAAGCCAGCCGTCTGAGGAATACATATCCGGCACTGCAGGGGTTAAATCCAGCAAAATGTCTCTCTCTCTCTCTCTGAAGAATAAATATTGCCCGGTGCAGCAGGGGTTAAGCTCCTTCTATCCAGTTACAGTAAACCACATGCCATTTGTTCTGACAATCAATAGCATCCAGCAACAAAGGGGTTAAACCTGCTGCACCTAGCATCCAGCAACAAAGGGGTTAACCTGCCGAGGTAACAATGCTGCTCCGGGTGCCCCTGAGAATGCCCGTCACTCAGCACGGAAGAGGTTAAATCAGCTCCGAGTTGAAAGAAACGGGTGTTAGAATATGGTCAAAAAGGGGTTAATCCAGAGACACCTTGCATGCAAGGATACGGTCTGGCGCTGTAGGGGTTAACTCTGTTATTGTGCAATTCCCTAAAATACTAAAATACAATTCAGCGCCGTAAGA